ATAATCTCAAAACAATTCAATATATATAAGAACCATCCAAATTTAATATTTAACTAGTTCATATATCGTCTAAATTTATCAACCAAAAAAAAAAAATCCAAAATCATCATAGCATGTTTAACGATCTTGAGTCTCCGAACGTTGGTCTTGAACAGTTAATGAAGACGAAAAACTTGGAACTGACGGGCCGGATACAATTGACCTCACCATTGGTCGCAGCTTAGCGACTTCATCCTTCATAAGAAAGAGCTCGGATTTGGTTGAAGCAAGCTCAGATTTGGTTGAAGCAAGCTCAGATTTGGTTGAAGCAAGCTCAGATTTGGTTGAAGCAAGCTCGGACTCTATTGAAGCAAGTCTATTAGACATCTCGGTGTGGCTCAATCGACCTGACGCACCGGTGCTATGTCGCGAACTTGTAGAATCGCTCCTAGTGCTCGGGACCCTAGACCATCCCCGAATATATGCAGGTCTTTTACCTAAGACTTGTTACATAATCTCTAGATCACCCGGGGGATTTTCTGTTGATTCAGTTTGCTGTTTAAAGCAACATACTTTCGCTTCCCCCTATTCTCAGAATTTTTCTTTGACATAGCCTACAAAAACAAAATATGATTTTAGCAATAACAAAGATAAAAATATGTTTCAAAGTCTGTATATAAAAATATGATTGTGCAAAACTGAACAGTAGGTAGGTTTCAAACAGTAGGATGAAAGCACATTAAACAATGTAAAAGCACCAGAAAGAAAGAAAGTTACAAGTACCTAAAAAGATACAAGTCATAAATATAAGAAATACTAGGTTTTGACAGTTTATATTTATTASAAGACAAAGGGAGCATGCCACATTTACATAGACTAATCTGACAATAACGAGCAAATGATATGAAATATTGCAGGAAGTTTCCACCAATTTACTAATCAAAGAATGACAGGTTGATTAATTTGATTATCTTAATTAAACAATGATGGATAATCTTGATTATTTATGGTCTGGCACTATCAACAATTCCGTAAATTCAGCTAGTCAACCCCATATTATAAGATCTTTTAAGGTTTCACTACAGATTTTTTTTAGATCAAGTATGATGGATAATCTTGATTAGTTATGGTCCATCACTATCAACAATTCCTTAAGCTGAGCGAGTCAACCCCCTGTTATATTATCTTTTAAGGTTTCATTACAGATATTTAAACCAAGCAGGATGCACAGAGGCTACAAGGTGAATGAGGATGTCCAGAACGAAGCTGCCCAGCCGCCAAGGGTATGACTTTAAACCAACCTAAACCAAAAAYGAACCCARTATATCTCATTTAAKAGTAGGGTCTGGAAGAGTAGGATGTACTGGAACATGTCCTCTACTCTAAAGCGTATGACTTTAAACATGCCCAACTAATTTTAGTTTACAGTCAAGCTTAGGAGATACTAAATTGTGTATGCATGTAACTCTTTCTTCAATGGTGTTGTGCCTAAATGAGCAATTMTGATATAACTGACTGAATGTTACATAATCCCTCATCTAAAAGCAAAAACAATACATGCATGGACCATTTGTCACTTTTTATTTTATTTTTTATATTTCTTACCAAGACATTTTCAAGATATAGAAAATAAACAACTTACATGAAACTTCTCCGAACTCTAGTAATCGCAAAGTATATGCCAAACATCATTTGTAACGTTCGAGTCAGTTGGCTTCATTCCTTTGGCTCTTTCCTCGTCCTCTTGGCCATGGCATTTTAAAACAGAATTGACTGTTAGTCAGATGTCCCAGTTAACCATATATCACCATCTTCGACAAGAACATTAGCGTTGGATGTAATTCTGTATGTGACATCTAGGCCTTCTAAATTCAGGTGATATATTGTATCACTACTAGAAACCTGCGAGGGTCCTTCTTCTTCATCTTGGGATCGTTGTGATACTGATCGTATGTCCCATGAAAGCACCTGTTTGATCAACCTTTGAAATTCTTCGGCTGATATATATATATATATATATATATAGTGCCTTCTTATCCTGTAAAAACCAGGGATAGTGTGAGTGAAAACCAAGTTTTAACATTTTACACATATATTAAATACCAAACATATTAAATAAAGGATACTGCTTTGGTCTTTCTTGATATATATATATACATATATATACATATATATATATAATGGTTTGATTTTGTATTTGTTCTTCTGGGTGTATATTTAAGAAATAAGAATCAGATACAACAAACCATAATATTGGTTGTGTTAATGGTGTTATTATGACTCATATTGGTTGATGTGATTGCAGGGCTATTCTTGTAATTCTATATGTTAACAATGAAGAATATTATGTCAAATGATTACATAACAGAAGTCTTACCATTGCTGGCCAAATACCAGTTAAAGTTGCAAAGAAATCATCAAAGAAATCAACAGAAGCTACGGCCAACAGATCGTCCACCTGTTCACAATATTGAATTACAGGGAAAACTTACCATCAATTACAAACCTAAACCAACCGACATTTGAAACTTCATAGTAAAACGTTGTGAATGTAACTTCGTAGAGGCTATATGGGGTTTAATTTGAAATGATTGAAAAAAGATTTTTATTATTTTCGTTAATTATTATTTAATATTTCTAACCAAATGAAAATTAAAAGGAAATAGAATAGAACAGAAATTCCTTTATGTGAGGGGACTATTTTCATATATCGAGTGATTGTGAAGTATAAATGTATAATGCTAGACATTTCAGTTGGCATAGCATAAACTACACTTTTAATTCTTCAAAAATCATACATATAGATTAAACCATAACTTTACCTCTAAGACACATTAAAACACAATTTTGATGCTGAACATGGGTAGAGTTTTTATAAGTACATGGCACCAGTGGGCTCTAACTCAGGTCCAGCAGCTTCACCAACACCAGTGGATTAAATTTCAGTCTATTAAGGTTCAGCAATGGCTTAATTAGGTTGAATCAGTCTATTAAAGTTCTCTATCTCTTTGATATTTTTATTGGTGCTGATGCAGTTTAATTGACAGGAGAAAGCTTCTGAAGTTCAAAGTACCGATGTTGGGCCACAATTTGACCTTACAATTGATTGATGTTCGAACAATTCAACCCCCCCTCCCTCCAGCCACAAGAGCAGTTCCCTGGACATTGTTCAGTAACACAAATGTGTTGAACACATGCTAAGAAATAAGCACGATAACATTAATTGTGCTAAAGTATAGATAGACATACAGAGGAGATATGCAATCCTACACCACTATCAATTAACACAAATGTAAATGGAACTAATAGTTGCTACTATGATTAAGCTAAGAACAATTTTAGGTTTTCAATTTCAGCGCATACCACAAAACCATAAAGATAACTAAATTAATCTCAACATACTGYACAAATAGCTTCCGCGATGTAATCCTTGACAGAATCATCAAGATACAAACACAAAAACCACATATAAATCAATTTCTTATTGCAATTTACAACAAAGAAAAACGAAAAACATACAAACTTACTATCGAATCTGGTTGATGGACATGTTGTTAGACTTCGATCTGTGATTGAGCGGAGGCAACGATCTGTGATTGAGCCATTTGAAGTCGTGAGCTTCGATCTGTGATTGAGCTTCGATCTGTGATTGTCGACGAGAAGAGAGAAGAGAAAGGTAATATATTTATTATTTAATTTTGATTTATTTTTAATATAAATCTTTTAAATTATATATTTTTTATTCAATTTTAATTTATTTTTTAATATAAATCTTTTAGATACATTCTTAAGGGTAACTAAACACTTTTATTTAATTTTAAAAATYTTAATTTTTTTTATTAATTTTTAGAGAAGCTTAAAAAAGTGTTCCTAAAAATTGATGCAATTTTTTAGAGACATTTTTTATAAAAAGCTTCTCTAAAACTTTTAATGACATTTCTTACACCGTATAATTTGCCTATAAATCMTTCTTTAAATGTCGTCCAACCTTTAGTTACATTTCTCATTTTTGTCATTTAAATCTTTCTCTATAATGGAGCTTTAGATACACTTCTAARAGCTTCTCTGAAGATTTCTTCTCTAAAGCTCTTTCTTCTTGTAGTGATTTGAATTCCTATATTCAGATTTACAAGTCTGAAAGACACTTTAAAGTTAAATTCAGACTTGCAACTCTGAATTTCCCAGACTTTTA